CTCACACAGAAGCATACACATACACACTCATAAAAAGAGGAAAAGGGGAAAAAAATAATAAATCTTGCTCTCAAAGTCCACCTCCTCAATTTGGGATGATTCGTTGTCTATTCAAGTATTCCACGGATGCAGGGTACATCAAGTTGATTGTGGAGATTTAATCCGGTGCTCCTGAGGCTGCTGGGAGAGATTTCCCTTTCTCTTCTTTGTTCGCACAGCTCCCGGGGCTCAGCTTTGGATTTGGCCCCGCCTCTGCATGTAGGTCACTGGAGGGCGTCTGTTCTTTGCTCAGACAGGATGGGGTTAAATAAGCCGCTGATTCAGGGACTCTGGCTCACTCAGCCCAGGAGAAGGGAGGGGTATACAGTGTGGGGCGAGGCTGCGGGGGCAGAGGCCGGCGTGACGTTGCACCAGCCTGAGCACGCCGTGCGTTCTCCCAGGGAAGTTGCCTCTGGATCCCTGGACGCTGGCCGTGGCAGGCTGCACAGGCTCCCCGGAGGGGAGGTGCGGATAGTGATCTGTGCTCACACACAGGTTTCTTGGTGGCGGCAGCAGCAGCCTTAGGGTCTCATGCCCGTCTCTGGGTCCGTGCTGTTAGCCGCTGCTCCCGCCCGTCTCTCGAGCTTGTTAAGCAGTGCTCTTAATCGCCTCTCCTCGCACACCAGGAAACAAAGAGGGAAGAAAAAGTCTCTTGCTGCTTTGGCAGGTCCAGACATTTCCCCAGACTCCCTCCCGGCTAACTGTGGTGCACTAACCCCCTGCAGGCTGTGTTCACGCAGCCAGCCCCAGTCCTCTCCCTGTGGTCTGACCAAATTCCGAGCCTCAGCTCCCAGCCCCGCCCACCCCGGTGGGTGAGCAGACCAGCCTCTCAGGCTGGTGAGTGCTGGTTGGCACCAATCCTTTGTGGGGGAATCTCTCCATTTTGCCCTCCGCACACCTGTTCTTGTGCTCTCCTCCACGTCTCCGTAGCTTCCCCCCTCCGCCTCCTGCAGTTGCCGCCCATGAAGGGGCTTCCTAGTGTGTGGAAACCTTTCCTCCTTCACAGCTCCCTCCCACTGGTGCTGGTTCCGTCCCTATTTTTTGTCTCTGTTTATTCTTTTGTCTTTTGCCCTACTGAGGTACGTGGGGAGTTTCTTGCCTTTTGGGAGGTCTGAGGTCTTCTGCCAGCGTTCAGTAGGTGTTCTGTAGGACTTGTTCCACGTGTAGATGTATTTCTGATGTATCTGTGGGGAGGACGGTGACCTCTGCGTCTTACTCTTCCACCATCTTCCCCCTCTCCTCCTCAACATATCTTTTAGAATAAAGTCCAATCTTATTTTTATTTTGGGATTTTTGATGTTTTCCTATCAATTATTTCACTGAATTTGGAAGAGCTCCAAATTAATTATAATCTGTATTGTTGGCTTTTTTCTTTTTAAAAAAAAAATTATTTATTTATTTTAAATTTTTGGCTGTGTTGGGTTTTCATTGCTGTGCATGGGCTTTCTCTAGTTGTGGTGAGCAGTGCCTACTCTTCATTGTGGTGCACGGGTTTCTCATTGAGGTGGCTTCTCTTGTTGTGGAGCATGGGCTCTAGGCATACGGCCTTCAGTAGCTGTGCACGCGGGTTCAGTAGTTATGGTGCACGGGCTTAGTTGCTCTGTGGCATGTGGGATCTTCCCAGACCAGGGCTCGAACCCATGTCCCCTGCATTGGCAGGTGGATTCTTAACCACTGCACCACCAGGGAAGTTCCTTTTTATCTATTTTGGGGGCATCCCATTTTATTCTTTTCCATGGGAGACTGAATTTTCTTCACTTCTGAAAACTATTACAGATTTTATACTTGGCTTGATACTTCACAATGACCCACTGTATATACCGTATGAAGTGCATGGCCAGAAATTTAATGAGTAAAGGACAGAAATGTCGAGCTTAATTCTAAATGTTGATGTCTGGCAAACTTTCAGCAAACTTTGCATTATTTTTATGGTTCACTGGGTTCTAGGGAAACATAAATTTATGATTTAATCTTTTTTGCATTTTAAATGCTTCTACAATAAACTTGACAGACAAGTAATTTCTACCTATTGACAATGGGTATAATGCACATTTGAGTTGCAGTTAAAGAATAATGCATACATAAAACAAAATAACCAGCTAAACACTGTATCACTGAGTCCAATATAAATATGCTTTCTAGAAGAAAATTCCTTTTGGCATGGATATTTCTAATGAATATGGTCAACCACCGGAACAAATAAGCATACTTATTTTTCAGATGATTAATTAATCTGGTAATACTAGTAAGAAGAAAATGAGTAATTCTCCCCCAAAATTATTCTATGGATCTAAAAAGGATGTAGTTAATACCGTCTCAATCTATATTTTCAGATAAATCCATTGTTATAATCTCTAAAAGCAAAAGAAAACTAATTTACTGGTCAATATTAAATTTGCCCTTTTACCAATGACACATTTTCTAAGGAGGGAGAAATTTATTCAAAGCCCTAACAAACTTTTTTGCTATTTCTTTTTAAGTAACAACTTCCATTAATTTAACATGAAAATTTAAATATGAGTTATAAATTATATTTGCAAAAGTTTTTGACAATTGTACATAATTACACCTTGAAAAGAGGGGTTTGTTTTTAATCATCCTTTGAGAGAATAAGCAGGATGACATTTTACAAATATTTGGTTTATCTGTTCAAAAGAATGTACTTTGCAGAGACTAGCCATCAGTTACTGTGAGCAGTATGAGTAGTATGTTCATAAAAAAGGAACCCTTTCATCAGACGCTGCCTCTTCTCTCCTTTTACAAACAGATAGAGGATTCTTCCAGTTGTCAACATATATTTTTAAATCACCTACTCTGTGCCAGACACTGTAGTAGGCACTGGAGAACTTTTTCCTCTTTCCATTCTTTACCCATGTTAAGTCCCGCAAAGCATGACCATAAATGTGCTCTTTACTGTTTACCACTTCATTATAAATTAAAATGATTCATTTGCATTCATAATGTGTTACTCGAGTGAATTATAGCCAAATGTATATGAAGTGAACATATGACATTATATTATTTCATTATGTGGGGTTAGATTTTTGTTGCTCTGTTTGAAACAGTACCTAAAGAAAGCGTGAAAGCAACTGATCAGCTTATGTTCTCAGCCTTGCACAAAGGTTCTTTAAAGCAAACAAGATTTGTAACTGTTTTGTCTTTACTTCTGACATCATCCATGGTGCTGGTTTTCTACTTAGTTGAAGAAATCTCATGAGCCTATTTCTTACAGCAGTACCTCAACCTAACTCCTTTTATTCCTCTGATTTAGCCCAAAGGAATCCCCTGATTATCCTCTGAAGAACTGTTCATTTCGGTTAAGGGAAAGTTCTTAGGCTGGTTCAGAGACACTAATGAAAATCCAGGGTTAAGTGGAGATCGCAAACCGGAAGTAATATCAGGAGCAAAATAAGTTGGGCAGATTCTCTAATCAAAGTTGAGTGCTCTGAAAATCAGAATCAAAAGTTTGCTTCCAACTGGGGTTATTACAAGTAGTGCTGTTATGAACATTCTCATATGTGTCTTTTGGTGAGTATATGTAAGCATTTCGATGGTATATACCGGAGGAGTGGAATTACTGCATCATACAGTATGTGTATATTCAGTTTTAGTAAACACTTTTTCAAGTGTTATGCCAATAACACTCCTGCAGCAACGTATGAAAGTTCCAGTTGCTCTAACCCTTGGGAACAGTTACTTTTGTTTTTTTCATTTTAATCATTCTCATGGGTGGATAGTGTTATTATATTGTGATTTTGATTTACATAACCTGAAGGGCTAATGAGATAGGGCAAGTTTTCATATTTTTTCCCCACTTGGATATTCTGTTTGTAAGTATATATTCAAAAATTTTGTTCATTTTTCTTTTGGATTGTCTGCTTTTTATGGATTTTTAGTTTTTTTAAATACTAGATATAAATTATCTATATTATATATTTTTAAATGAAATTTTCATTTTAGAACACTTTTAAATTAATAGAAAAATTGGGAAGACAGCACCGAGAGTTTATCCCATTCAGGATGCCCTCTTATTAAAATCTTATAATACAATGGTACATTTGTTATAATTCATGAACCTATATTGATTCATTATTATAGCCTAAACACCGTACTTTATTCATATTTCCTTAGTTTTCCCCTGATGTACTTTCTCTGTTACAGTATCTCATCCAGGATACCACATTACATTTGCTTATCATGTCTCCTTAGATTCCTTTTGGCTATGACTGTCTCTCAGACTTTTTTTGTTTTTGATGAACTTGACAGTTCTGAAGAGTATTGGTCAGGTATTTGCAGAATGTCCCTCAAGTGGGGTTTTGGACTGACTTTTTATTATTATGTGCTGCACATATATTTCTCCAGTAATATTTCTTACCATAGTCTTTTTTTCATCATCATATTATAGCTATACCAGTTTTCTTTTGATTACTACTTAAATGGTATGTCTTTCATCATCTTTTTTACTTTTAAGCATCTGTGTCCTTTTATTTAATATAAGTACCCCTTGATTTCCACTTAAAAAAACATGTAATTTTTAATCCACTTTGACAATTTTAGTCTTTTAATTAGGACATCAGTTGCATTTAAAATGATTATTGATATATCTGGCTTTTATCTACCATCTTATTATTAGTTTTATATTTAACCCAACTGTTTAATCTTCCTTTTTCTTTTATTCTTTTATATTATATATATATTTATTATTTTATATTGTATATTATTTTATATATTTATTTATATTATCAAGACATTCTTTTATTCATTTTCTTCCCCCAAATATGAAACATTTCATAAATTTTCATATCATCCTTGAGTACAGACCTTAATAATCTTCTTTGTATCATATTAACTTTAGTATGTGTACTGCTGAAGTGAAAATGGTATTTCTTTTTAAACAAGAAGTTTTACTTTTGTGGAACTTTGTGATTTTAAAAAGTGCACATTACTTTGGAGAGTAAACTACATGCAGAAAAAAATCTAGAACAGTTCACTTTCATGTAAGATATTTGTTCCCGTAAGTAGCCAAACCATAATAGATTATACTGTAGAGACTCAAAGAAAAGTGATGATGTTTTTATGTTCACCATATTTGTAAACAACCTGGTATGTGCCCATATGATTTAAATGTATAATTATTTAAAGAATGCAAATTATTTTTTAAAAATTAAGAACTGTGAAAGTTCTGGGATTTTTTTTTACCATACTTGCAAGCTAACCAGTTAGCATGCTACATTTCATGGATACTGGCAGAAAAAAAAAGACTACTGGGTCAGATTCAAAGGACTTTATTTTTCACAGCACAGTAGCCAGTATGATCTTCATGCTCGCGTCAGTTCCTCTTGCCCTCAAGTTCCATGGGGGCAATATGGAGTGGTCCTAGGTGAATTCTGTACATGTAGTGCGTTTATGTCACAGTTGAAGAACACTGAGTTCAGGGAACCAGAATCTTTTACAGTGGGCTGCAAACAAACCTGACTGAAGGAGTTAATATCTCCAATATCTCCTAGAAGGAGATAATATCTTTATTACACTAGAGAGTAAACAAACCTGCTCTTTGCTCTGGAAGGAGTCAGTATCTTTATCTTCCAAAGCCATTTGCTATATAAATGTACTTGAAAAGATGGTCCAGAATGAAAACTTATAGTGCTCAGAAGACTTGTAGAAACATGAGAGACCCATGGAGAATTGTCTCCCACATAAATGTGTACAGAAAGAAACAAATCTAAAAATGGAATACTCAGTTTTAAAAATCACTGTTCTTATTATTTTCTATTACGTTGTTTCACAATATCAATCCTGAGCCGTAAATGATGTAAAAAGTGGAAGATAGATTACTTAAATAGAAAGGTTGATCTTGTTGAAAGATACATGGATACTGAGAGATTATTAATTCTTGTTTTAGGCTGAACCACTCAGTTGAGTTGGTCATCTGTTTCTGTTTCAGAAAGCTCTCTGGACAGGGTTTTTGATCTTCCCTTGGTAGCCTACAGTTTTAGATTGTTTGCAAAAATGGCTGAAATCACCCCCCTCCCCGTATCCATGCCTCTTTGCAATGTGATTTTGTAACTCCTTCCATTAAAGGGAGGATCTTATTTACCCACCCCTTGAATTTGGGCTATTCTTGTACTTTCTTCGATTAATAAAATGTGGCTGAAATGATGTTGTGGCTGTTCCTAGCCTAGGTCTTAAGAGACCTTGCACACTTCTGCTCTCTCTCAGAACCCTGTCCAGGTCCCAGGTGAACAGTTCGGAGTAGCCTTCTCAATGATGACAGGCATGTGGCTTAGTTGCCAATGTTTTCTTTGCTGACAGCGAGCTAAGTCTAAGAAGGAAAACTCCTTAGCTGACTTGCAGCTGACTAAAATACATTAGTTAGACCAGCCAAGACCAGAAGAACTGTCTAGTTTGCGTTCAGACAAAATTATTGATCCATAAAATCATGAGCTAAATAGTTGTTTTAACTCACTAAATTTGGGGATGATTAATTATTCAGTAGGAGCTAATTGCTATCTACATATAAAATATTAGTTTGTTATTACCACCAAGTTCATTCATTCATCCAGTCACTCATTCACTAGCGTGAATAAAGTTTTATGTGCCAGCAGGAAACAAAACAAAAGCAATATCTCTATCTCTCTGAGACTAGTGGAGAAAGACAGAAAATAACATAAAAATAAAACATATAATATTCTAGGTGGTAATAAGTACAAAGAGAAAAAGGAAATTTTAAAACTTTATATCAGGTAGCCAGAGAAGTCCTCACTGAGAAGTTGGTTTTTAAATTTTTTTTCAGTTGAATTATAGTTGATTTACAATATTGTGTTAGTTTCAGGTATACAGCAAAGTGATTCGGTTTTATATAGATATATATATATTTTTTTCTTTCAGATTATTTTCTGTTATCGATTATTATAAGATATTATGGTTCCCTGTGATATACAGTAAACTCTTGCTGCTTATCTACTTTATGTATAGTTGTTTGTGTCTGTTAATCCCATACTCCTAATTTATCCCTCCACTCCCTCCCTTTCTCCTTTGGTAAGCATAAGTTTGTTTTCTATGTCTGTGAGTTTGTTTCTGTTTTGTATACAGATTCATTTGTATTATTTTTTAGATTCTACATATAAGTGATATATAATATTTGTCTTTCTCTGTCTGACTTCACTTAGTATGATAATCTCTAGGTCCACCCATGTTGCTGCAAATGACAGTATTTCATTCTTTTTGATAGATGAGTAATATTCCATTGTGAGAAGTTAACTGTTGAATAAAGACACAGATGTAGTATGGAGGTGAATCATGTAGGTATTTGGATGAAGAGTTTCCCAGGTAGAGAAAATAATAAGTGCAAAGCCATTAAGCAGATCCATATCTGGTGCACATTTTTGGGAACAGTTGGAGTAGAGTGAGCAGTGGGAAGAGTAGTAAGAGATGATATTAGGTAATGGGAGGCTAGACCCTGTATCAATTTACCTTGGCTTTTACTTGGAGTAATATTAGAAGCCTTTTGAAATGTTTAAAAAATTTCCCCCTTTTCACTGGAAGACTCTGAAGCAGGGCCATGACATGAGCTGGCTTCAGTTTTGACAGGGTTATTCTCACTGCTGTGCTGAGAAGAGACTGAAAGAAAACAAAGGTGGAAGCAGGAAGATCAGTTAGGATGCTATATCAATAATGAAGGACCAGAGTACTGGCAGTGTGGAGGTGATGAAAGATGGTAAGATTCTGGATATACTATATTTTGAAGGTAGAGCTGAAAGGATTTGCTTGCTGATGGATTTGGATTTAGTGTGTAAAAGAAACAGAGTAAAAATCACTCTAAGGATTTGGTCTACAAAACTAGAAGAATGGCATTGCAATTAACAGTATTAGCCTGAATTTCACAGGAGATGTCTGGGCTGGAGGTAACTCATTTGGGAGTTATTCAATATGGAACATTTTTAAAGACATGAGTTTAGAAAGGAGAAGAAGACCACATACTGAACCCTTTAGCATGTCAGTGTTTTAAGATATGGGTGATAAGGAAAAGTAAGCAAAGGAGGCTGAGAAGGAGTGGGCAATGAGGTAGGAAGAAAACTAAAAGTGTAAGACATCCTGGAAACAAATCAAAAAACAGTATTTAGAGGCAGAAGGACCACCAACTGTGTCAAATGCTGCAGAAAGGTCAATTAAGATGGCCAAACACTGAATATTGATCACTCACTGAATTTAGCAATATGGAGCTTATTAGTAACTGTGACACAGTCAATTTAATAAACAGATCTTAGCAAAGCCTGCTTGAAATGGGCTCAAGATAAAATGAGAAGAAACTGGAAACAGCTGGTATAGCTCACACTTTTGAGGAGTTTTGCTGTAAAATGAAAGAGAAAAATTAGGCATAGTTGGAGTAGGAAGTGGGGTCAAGATCGTTCGTTCATTAGTTCCTTCCTTCCTTCTTTTGAAATAACACATGTTTAATTATTGGCAGGAAAGATCCAGTAGAGAGAAAGAAATTGATGATGGAGGAAACATGACACTCATTTTTCTGCTCTGTAATAAGAATGCAAAAAGAGCCTCCTATTTTTCACTACAAATTTTCCTTCCTTCATTCAGGATTGAACAGCCAAGGGGTGTAATGGGAATGAACTAATTATTATAGCATAATATTAGGAGAAGTGCATTTCTGGCATGGTCAAAATGGCCAGCAGCAAACCTTCTTTGTGTTTCAACTGTCCTCATGTATAAAGAGAGAGAGAAGTTTTTTTGAAAAAGTGGGAAAGAAATGAACTAACATTTCGGAGCTCTCTGCTTCTCTTGCCCTCACACACTCACGTTTCAGGCTACAGGGCATTTGCAGAGTACGTGCTCTGGCTATGTGCTGCCATCAGAATTTGTGTACTCAAAGGAGCTATAATGACATGGCAAATGATTATATGAATATGCATCTGCATGACTTCATTCCCACCCTCTCTTTTGTTAGTTTTCAGGATTACTCATGTGTAATTTTTGTTAGCAAATACATTGAGGCAGAAGGAACCCACCAGAGCTGCAACAAAACAGAATAATAATATCACCCCTCCAAGCTGCCCCAGCAGTGCCAGGGGACATGAGATGAAGCCAGAAGCCTGGGCATTAAGACCGCCAGCCTGCTAATTAGGAAACCAGGGCTTTGCTTCTGACTCAGCTGCTGACTCGCTGACTCACTCTGCCGTCAGCAAGTCATTTTGTCTCCCTTGGCATTATCATCATTACAAAGGCGATGGTGATTCCTGCCTCCCTGGATATATTGATGATTCATACATATTCAAAAGCTCAGAAAAAAGTGGGAGGAAAATGCCTTAAAATTCAAGGTATCACAAAGACAGTGTTTCTCTTGAAATAATGGCAGTTTCTTTTCATGTTGTGGATAAAATCTTATTTTTCTCCCGAATAGCATCAAGCCATCAAAATAGAAAACTCTCATGTACTAATTTCAAAGATTTCTTTGTGAGTGGGTGGGTACTGAAGTTTAATGAGGGGCAAGTTGGCCAAGAAAGCTTTCTGTCTTCTGGGTTTGTCAAGGAGATGTCAGCCGGCTATATGGAAACTTATTTGCAACCCAGGAAAGAATGTCAGGGTATTACATTTCTGATGAGAGGAGTTCATCATTAATCAGCTCTAAATAGCACTACAAACCATAAGCTTCATTTTAGTCAAATTGATTTCTCCCCAGTTCTACAGAACACAGTCGTATCAGCTCAGAGAAAAACCTAGTGTCTTTCATAGGCCCAGGTCATTAAATCCACTTCTGAGCCCTGCTTCAGCTTTATGGAGTCTGTCATCAATTCATGGGTACTTTCTCTGTCCCTTTCCAGACAAAAAGGAAATATGCTATTCATTCAGGCTATTTCAGTTTA